TGTGTTAGTGTGTGTGTGTGTGTGTGTGCGCGCATGTGTACGTGTGTGATGAATTTCTGGATTGGATCCCCGATAGTAAAAAGTACTTTGGCATTTTAATAAAAGGTCTCTAAGTAAATTAGAGCACTGGGCTGACCAATCTCTGGATCTCTGTACTTCTCACCGAGATCTCACTACAAAGTGAAGGAGTCTGTACAGGGAGACAAGAAGAAAAAGGAGAAAGGCCAGAGACAACTTAGCAGGGAAGGGAGAGAGCATGATATTAAACGGCATGGGGTCTAAGTTTTGGAGCATATTTTTTTGATATTGCAATTAAAGTAAAATTAAAAAGAAAAGACTCCACCTTTGCTCTGAAGGGATTGGTTATGCAAATATGGAAGGGATTTCCTGGAGAATACAGCTTTCTACTGTATGGTTAATTAAATAATCACTCAAAAGCTTCCAACGTGACGCTTCTGTCGTAATCCAATCAGGTTACATAGGTCCTAAACAAGAAAGATATTTTCCACATCTGGAAGTCAGCAATTTAGCAAGTACTGCACATTATTAACCAATTCAGAGCCCACTTCCCAGGGGAATTTTTTTTTTGAAGTTTAAGTGTTCTTAACCAATGCTCTGCTGTTTTGTTAATCAAAAAGCTGGTTTACACTGCACGTAATTGGAACTAATATAGAAGTAAATAAAGACAGCCAAATCTGAGGATGCTGAGCACAGGCAGTTATCGGAAAAAGAAGAAATCTCTTAGCCTCTGATGGTTCAGGCTCAATTTCTTAAAGTACTGTGAGGCCTTTTTTCTTTTCTTTCTCTTTCTTTTTTCTAAACAGTGAAAGTGTTTGAGAACCTCAGAGCACAAATAAACTTCCAATCCCACAGCCTTTGAGCTCCCTTGGAAAGGTAGAGGTGGAGGTATGAGGAGGACCAAAATCCTGCCTCATACCATTTTTTCTGCTTTACCTTGTTAAATATATTGCAGCCTCCTATTTTTAGTGTGAAGAGATCTGAAACCAATAATACCCTGGTCCAACACTAGACTTTTACTTATATTAAGATAAACTGCTTTGAACTATGCTTTGAATGGGAGCCTGAAGCAAGACTTTGAATGCAAGAGTCACTGGCAATTGCATTCAAAACAGGGAAAAGCCACCACACGGATTGCCACATCCACTCTCCCAGAGGTACATGCTCTTTGCTTTTTGTATGTTTATTTATTTTTTTGAGGGGGGCAATAGCCCCTGAGCACGACCACAGCTAGCTCTTGTTTTAGGATGCAAGAAAGTAGATTTTCACAGTTGGTTGTAGACTCACCTCTTTCCTAATTTGAGTATTTATTACAATGTGAACTGGTGGAAAATTAATCTTTTGCCTACCCTCATCACAGATAAAGTATCTACAGAAGATCTATAGGTACAAGAGATCTTCAATCTAAAAATATTAATAAAAAATCAAAGATCTCCAACATGGATCAGTCACATTTTAGTGTTATATTTTACACTGCTTTGCTATTAAATATCTGTCCTAAATATATGTATGACTTATCAAGTTCCTGCCCTGGGATTTAGCATCATTGTTCATATTGTGGTTTTGGTGCTCCTCCTTTTTTTTTTTCTTTTGTATTAAAAAAATAAGAGTTAAGATTTTTTTCTAGAAGTTTTCCTTTCAGGCATCCCTCTCCCAGTCCTGGGAAGGAGCCCAGTGCCTGCTTTTAGGGAAGATTCCTCTTCAGGTGCCCAGGTAACCCTTGGGGGTTTACAGCCCAGACACAAATTCACAGGTGTCACCATAGGTCAAAGGATCCACTCCAATGGCAGACAGAACACTAGGCTTTATTTTGTATAGTAAACGCCCTGTTATTCAGGATCAACCTTAAAATACTATTAAGTATTTCCATTAAAAACACCTAATCATCTGATTACCCTGGGCTCAGTAATGTTCAAGTGGCAGAAGGCAGCTCCCAACATCAGTTAGCACTGGGAGTTCTGACAGGCGAGTATTTGGTGTGTGTGTGTGTGTGTGTGTGTGTGTGTGTGTGTGTGTTTAAAGCCATTTGGAGGTAAAAAGAAAAAAGAAAAAAGTTCTCATCCAGATGGATGTCTGGGAAAGGTGCACGTGAAGACTGGGTGCAGGGTAGGCTGCCCACTGCCCCTGCCTGGCACGCCCCTCTCCGAGTGAGTGGCCGAGAGGGTTCCCACAAACGCTGAGCAGGCAGTGGGGTAGGGGGAAACCGGAATATAAATTTGTTCGCAACAGTCTCTCAGTGTGAGGGCTAGGTCCAGGACAATGGAGATCGTGGGATCGGCGGGATACAGGAGCGCAGGACTCAGGGAAAAGTCAGGAGAGCACGGGGGCTTCTCGCTGCTTTCGGCTTCTCACACAGCAGAACAGTCCTTCAAATGAATCGCCCCTTGCTTGTCTGTCTTCCCCCTGAATAATCCACTTCGAGATAAGCAAGGACGAAGGGGATTCAAACACTAGATCCATACAAATGTGCAATAATATTGCAATCGACTTTGAAGGGGAAAAACAATTCTTCAGGGTTTCCTTGGGCAAAACAAACTGCTGTCCCCAGGAGGATTCCCTCCACCCAAGTAGGACGAGAAGGGTGCACTTTTGTTTTCCAGTTCCCTGCAGCCAGGACCCGGTGTCTGCCCCCCACTCCCCTCAGTCTGTCAATTTCCTCAACTTTCGCAGGCACCCCCTCCCCCAGCCCCTCACTCCTCTGCCCGCCCAGATGCCAGAAGAGGTAACTGCTTCTGCCCTTGAACACGCAGGCTGCAGAAGGAATTCGAATTTGGCCACTGCTAATGATTTTTTTTAAAACAGCAAACTCTGTTTATTTTGTACCATGTGGAGAAAATAAAAAAAGAAATCCATTCTCGTTTTGAAACGGAATCGATGTTTCAGCCCGAGCGGGAGGAGGTGGGCAACTTCTTTTGGAGTTGCAAGCAAAGGGTGATAAGGGGACCCCTGGACTGGGTGTGTGGAGGGCGTGGGGGAAGGCAGGGGTCCAAGTCAAGCCAAACGGTCTTCTCACGTGCAAACTCGCAATCCAATCCATTCAGAGTCGGGCTTAGGATAGGAGGGGAAACACTATTTAAAAAAATCGGAGCATCTCTCTGAGAAGCCCTTGCAAACAAAACCCAAGCAGGACCAGCGAACCTCAGACCGCCCTTCACATCCCCGCTGCGAGGCCCGCGGGCTGTGGAATCTCGCACGTCACCTGGCCCCAGCAGGGCAGCCAGCTGAGGGCTTGCTTTTCTTTTCTTTTTTGAAGTAAAGGATGCATCTCGGCTGCAGGGCTTTTGCCAGCGTCTACACTGACAGGAACCGGCCAACTTCAGGACCCAAATGAGCATCTTAATTTATTGATGCAAAACAGGTCTGCTCGTCGTCCCCGTGCTCGGCGCGCTCGGCCCTCCTCCCCCGCCCCAGCTCCGGTCCCTGACGGACCGGGCGGCCGAGCACGTGCAAGGGTGGCCTTCCCGCCCCTGCGCCGGGCTGCCCGGAGCCCGCGACCCCCGCCCGCCGGCCCGGTCAGCTGACCCGGCTCGCCCGCCGCTCCCCGCCCGCCGCCGCGTTTCCGGTCCCCCGGGTCCGGGACTCGCGCTCCGAGAGGAGCGGCGGCGGCCGGGAGGTGAGGCTGGGGGCTGATTATCATGAGAAAGGCTGTGCCCGCCAAAGCCTCCTCCACGCGACTGTCAGCCTCCCTCAGGTGGGGAGGGGGGCGGAAGGGGCCCAGTCGGAGTCACCCGAAAACTTGGAGTAAGTTGGAGGCGACGCAGGCCCGAGGAGGTGGCTTTCGCCTCAACTTGGAAGGCTGGGGCGGTGCCGGTGCGGACGCCAGCAGCCTCGCCTGGGAATTGAAAACCAAAAATCTCCCTCCTTCCCCTTCCTCCCTCTTGTCCTGCTTTCAGCCCTCCCTGCCCTTTATCCGTATTTTCTTGACATCCTTTCCCAGTTGCATTTCCTACATTTTCTTCTTTCTGTATCTCTTTTGCAATCTCTTGTCTTCTTTCTTAACGTCCTCTGCTCTCCTTCGTAGTGATTCTTTCTGTGGCTCCTTTATGTGTCCAGATTTATCATTTTGTTTTGAAAACACGATGTTTAATATGCAATTAATCTACCAGCAGGAGGGCAAGGACACCCTGACTAAAATAACTCCCTGGATCTCTGAGACTCCAAGTTCACCAGGTGTCAGTGAAAAGTCAAATAGTAATAATACAAATAAATCAATATCTCCGGGATCGTAATGGCCTATTATTCTAAATTACTGTATCAGCTCAGACTGATAATTTTTTACAGGTAATATTTCTGGGAAAAATGAATAATACTTGGCATAAGGAGATACTTTAGAACTAAGGCAATGTGCACGTTTTTCTTATTTGTAGTGATAGACTAATACTATTGAGCAAACCTTAGAAATTAAAACAGGTAATTTTAAGAAACTCAATTGTGCTTTTTCTTTTACTGATTATTTGGAAAATGGAAAAAACTGCCAAAGCATTCCCTCTACCCTTCACGGAAGATTCAGATAAAACATCACATTGTGCGTTTGTACACTGCTAAGCAAAGTCACACCTTCAGTAGTTGGG